CTTATAAGATTCCGGAAGTTTGGCTAATTCTCCTCCTAGACAAGGACCACAAAAACCAGCGGTAACATTTCAGCGGGCTACATAATTTTTGGCTGGAACTTCTTTTTGGCAGGCGAGGCAAAAACGTCGATGTCGACAATACCTTAATCAGCCCCAAAGTAAAAGCCCAACTAGGAAAATTAATAGTCCACTCAGGATGAGAAAAACCAGAAAAACACTCTTGGGATTTTGTTCAATTAAATTTTTATAGTCTATCATATTTTATATTATAAACCTTTTATTCTCCCAATTTTAGAGGCAAAAAAATTAGGGAAAATCTCTGGAAAAATCGCTTGTCAATTCGTATCCAGAAAATGGGGTGGGAAATTTTGGCAGAATTTGGTGAAAAAGTTGGATTTTTTTGGTTAGAAGTTAGGAGCAAATTCTTCTTTCCTTAATTTATACTATGGCCCTTCTCCCAAGAAATAGTTGCTAATAAAATTTCTTTCTTGGGCACCTGGATAAATAAACAATCTAGCCAGTTTGATATGTGGTATCATTTTTTATTATTCGTTATTAATTAGAAAGTGTGTAGCACGCACACGAGGGTTATTCCTCTTTATTCCCCAAAGCTGCCAAACGCTTATGGTAAATAGCATCCAAAGCCTCTTGGTTTTTTTGATAAACCGGTTGTTGGTGAAGCAAACGGTAAATCTTTTCAATCTCAGACAAACTCGCGGCTTGGATCATCTCCTGGCGAAACTGCCAAAAAGGATTAAAGTTTCTTTTTCATTGCTTAGAAAGTCGCAACTTGACTTTTCTTAACTCGGGCCGAATAATTGTTTGGTCCAGTTGGAGGGGATTAAATTTTTTTTGAGGGGGAGAAGTTTCTACTTCTAAGCTAAAATGATTCCTCAAAGTAATAACTTCTCCGGCCAGCAAACTCGCTTGCAACTCAACTAAAAAAGCCTCGATTATCTTCGCAATCTCGGGTTGAGTAATGGCTTTCTTCTGATTAGGCTGGCCTAAACGACGATAAGTGCGTACCACCAAATCCCGCTTGTGACAAGAAATAGGTCGAGTTGACATTATTTTATGTTTTAGTTTGCAAACCTGCGAAAACAAAAGTTTTAGAACTATTTTATGGCGGGATTTGCATTGTCTATGACCTTGCGGCTTTTTCACCAAAATATTTCTTTCTTTCCGGAACCGAGTGGTTGTTTGTTAAACTGACCAGACCGCGACCAGAACTTCCGGAGGAGTATAAAACCAACTAGTCATGAAAAAATTGATTATAATCAAAACCGACAAAGCCAAAAAAATCCAAGAGTTTCTGGATCGGGAATGCGTAAATTACGAAATTTATAATTCCAAGAATATTCCTAAAGCAAAGTCTTTTCAACCTGAGAAAAATATTGAGGAAGTAGTAAAACTTTTTGATAAAAGAAGAACAAAGTACTAAAATGTATTTTTGAGATGAAGAAAGACAAAAGTTAGTAAAGAATTGTCCCGGTTGTGGTTCTATTACTGCGGAAGGAAAGATTAATTGTTCGCTAACTTGTCCTGGTAGAAGACTAGAAAGTGAACATAAAAAGGTGGTGCGGAAAATGGTTGCTTGTTGTTTACCGAAAGAAAAGATAAGAGTAAAGTTTCCCTTAACTCCCCTCAAAGATT